ACACACACACACACACACACACACACACACACACACACACACACACACACACAGAAGGCCAAGGAAATGACTCACCTGATACTTGTTCATTTTTTGCTGCTCTTGGGAAAGGACAGAAACTATGAAGCCAGAACAGGGAAAGTTGGAAAACAGAAGTCTTAAAAGACCTTATCTTGCAGCTCAGGAATCACCTGTGAGAAATTTCCATATATTTTAGTAAAACATAAACCCCTAGGAAAATACCCCTTTGAGCCATGAAGAGGAATAGGAGGACCATGATAAAGGAGTTACCCACCTGTCCATTGGTGACTCTGATATAATCATGATGAATCTGGGAAAATTTTGAGTGAATCTAAACATTTCTTTCCTACTGGCCATTCAGTCCATTTAGTAAATGGACAAAAGAATTGAAAACCTTAAACATCCAAAGATAGGTTAGGCAAGGTATATAATATATATCCAAGGTGTTTAATATATATCCAAAGTATGGCCCCCAGTGCTGGCATTACAAATGTTAAAAAGAAATACTCATATGGAAGTGTTTAAGTTACATAACAGTTTTTCCTATTAATATTATAAACCCCACAAAGTTAGAAAGTCTTCAAAGCCCTCAAAAATTAACATGTTTCCTCTCCCTAAATTGCAGTTTCTCCAGAATCACTTCTCCAAGAAACTTGTTTTGACTTAAACATGGTACTGTGGACGACCTGGAGACCTGTTCTGTGCTAGTCTCTGCTATTAACAAACTTAGTGACTTCGTTTCAATGCTATTATCTAACATGAGAAGGAATTGGATCATTTTGAACATCCTTTCCTGTACCATTTTGATTCTGTAAGTCTTCACTCATTGCCACAAATCCAGACAGTACCCTGGAATTCACTGTCCCCTCCAATCTTGGGCTGGGCCTTAAGGTAAAAATTAATTAGGCCTTGAAGAATTTTGACATGGCCATCTCATCTTCTGACAGCCACACAAATCTAAACCTTAAAATAACAATTTGACACCATAAATCCCAAAACACTTTATCTAGGTAGCGAAAGGTAACTAAATGCCTCTTCCAGCTGGCATGATGCTTACAAAACTTAAGTCCAGACACACCTGCCAAACAGAGACATAACACTTTCTAAGAAACATGGAGCCCCGATGAAATGCCAGTTTTCGTCTGTTAACAAAGTCTGTCCCATTTCCCCTCTCTAGAAACTAGAGGGTTCCCAGCTTCTCCAATAAGACTTAAAATTCAGGGCTCAACTTAACGGTTTCAGTTTACGTGTTAGCAGCCCTCTGAGAATAGGAACAGGCCGGAGAATGCAAGAAGGGCCTTAATTAGCCTTTTCACACAAGAGTTCTGAGAAAGCCTCAAGAATTTTTGGAAATAGAACTCTACGTGGTAAGGTTAGGTCTACCACACTCACAGTTTTGCTCAGGGACAATTACGGTACTAAATACAACCGAAGACTGGATTTTATCGTGGGAAACAGCATGAACCAGAGTAAAACAATGAGAATTTACCCACCTTCCTCCGCTAGTCCTGAGTACACCCATTTATCGCTAAACCTCTAGTACTCGTATTAAAATGGAGCTGATTAGTACCGATTCAAAGGATGGTTATGATGATATGATTAAATGAGCCAATAACGAAAAGAACAGCATACCTTGTAATAATAAAAGAAGCTCACCTTTATTGAGTCCTTATCTTACTTTATATATACAGTCCTATTTAATACAGCAAACAACCCCAGTGGAATTATTTTTGGAATTATTACTGGAATTATTTTACAGATGAGTGCCCGGGTCGTACCGAGGTCGTCCTGCTCGGTTCCTGGCGGGAGCAGGACGCACGCAGGTCCCCCGGGCTTGACAGCGCTGCGACGCCAGCAGCCACGCCAGCAGCCACGCCAGCGCGGACGTGGCGGGCCCGGGGTCCACGTCACAAAAGCCGTCCCCCCCGCGTCCCTCCCCGCTCCCCCCGCGCCCCCGGCCAACTCGGGCCGCCCGGCTCCGCAGGTCGAGAGCCAGGACGGTGGACAACGGGCAATCCCCCGCAAAGCCCCCTGCCTGACCCCCCTCCCCAGTCCTCCTCGGAGGCCAGCTGGGCGCTCAGAGGGGGGCGGCGGCGCCTTCCAGGTTCTCCGACGCGGCGCAGCCGCAGAGACCCGGCTTCCCCCCAGCCCTCCCGGCCACACACCTGCAGGGCAAGGCCACCGCTCCCGGCCCGCGCAGGTTCCAGGCCCCGCCCTCTGTCGCACCGCGCAGACCTGAAGACTCCAGAGTGCTCTCCCGCCCCGGGGCGTGAGACAAGATGGCGACTATCAAAAGGAGGTGGGGTTGCGCATGCGCAAGAGGCCCCCGCGCCTCACTCTGAAAATACACTTCCCAGGAGCCTCCGCAGCATCTTCGCTTTGGACAACGTATGATATTCGACCTCTTCCAGCCGCTTGAGTACTGCTGGGATTTTCTGGAGGCTATCACTCAGAGAGAGGGCTAATTTGACCTGGCAGCCCGCAATGTGGGGGCTTGAAAACAAAACCAGCACTGGATAAAGAAAGTACTTGTCCCCCGGCCGCTCCCCCGCTTGTGTGCACTCTCTGACAAATAATCTTTAAAAAAAGAAAGTACTTGTAACTAAGTACAATAGTACATTCAAAGAATAATATCCTGTAACGTCTGAATTTAAGCTTTCAAAATTATGCAAATGATACATGAAACTTGTAATAAAGAGAAAATATGTATAGGCTAAAACAGAAGACTAGTGACACACATACCACTGTCCAAAAAAAAAAAGAGTTTAATGTGAGTGCACAGTCTGAGATTTTTACTCATTTTATGTTAATGGTATAAAATATTTTAATTCCTTTCACTAGGGAATATATATTAAATATGTAGTGATTTCCTGGTCAGTAACGTCGTGACAGTAATTTACTCTTTCTTGTGCCAACAGAAACGAGTTTCCATTCAAGGTAATGACAAAAATATTAATTTTTTTTGGTAAGATTAATTTTAAAACATAAAATCCATATAGAGAAAATATACGTACATACCCACGTAGCTGGCGTTCAGGGATGCAGGAACACCTGCCTGTGGGAGTCCCAAATAGAGCAAGTCTGGCCACTCAGCGCTGACAAAAATGCAAAGAAAGAGAAAGGAACCATGGTGAAACAGGAAAGGAATTTATTTCGGTGAGGCCAATACAAGGAAGACGGTGGACTAGCATCTCAAAGACTGTCTCCAAAGTGCTAAAAAATATTTCCAGGTTTATGTAAGAAAGAAAAATGTGGGGCAAAAGACAGTAGGTACTACAGGTCGGCAGTTGAGGGTCCAATGGAATCCTTGTCTCGGAGTCAAACATGGGTGGGGGCCTGAGGGCTCAGGCTAGTCCTTATTCCCTAAGTGGGTAGCGTCTGTTAGGGGTGGGATTCTTTACTCTCTTGGTCTTCCACCTGAGCCAAGAGAAGCTGGAAAGAAGAAACCAACCAGAAAGTTTGAGGTCAAAATGGAGGCAACTGAAATCCTCTTTTATATACACATACCAATTTTCTAGATGGACGGTTGGAGAAATAATTAAAAATAAAAGGTCTTCTTAGAATTCTGCCCAAACAAGTGATTTCAGATTTTGGCCTGGGGAACCATGGATGTAGTTACTATTTATTGATGAAGGATAGTTCACACATAGATATACAAGTATTTTTAGATAATAAATGTATCATTTTTATTTACTGTTATGTTTGTTTAGTACCTGCCTTATTCTCAAGAGAGTTTGTGGTGGTGACTCCCACAACTGATGGACACACAAAAATATACAAATCATACAGCAATAACCTCTTTCACAAAAATGCATACACACAGACTCACTGACACAATAAATACATTTACGTAACCTGACTGGAAATAATGTCTATTTGACCGCTTACCTTGTGACAGACACTGTCATATCTTCATGAATACATACGTTTTATAGATAGCTCTATTTTGTTACTGGCATATTTTTTTAAATTTCAGAATATATTTTGAATATCCCTTGTATCATTTAATATATTTCTATCACATTTAAAGGCTGCTGCTTGGGGCGCCTGGGTGGCTCAGTCGTTAAGCGTCTGCCTTTGGTTCAGGTCATGATCCCAGTGTCTTGGGATCAAGCCCCGCATCGGGCTCCCTGCTCCACGGGGAGGCTGCTTCTCCCTCTCCCACTGCCTCTGCTTGTGTTCCCTCTCTGGCTGTCTCTCTCTGTCAGATAAATAAATAAAATCTTAAAAAAATAAAAAAGGCTGCTGCTTGTTATTGTACTTTGTGGATGAGCATATTTTACCCATAAATTTTTGAATATTCTTACTGACTCAAACTGTGAAGGGAATTCTTTATATAAATCTTTTAATTACAGCATATAACCCAATAAGTGGAATTACTTGAGTGAAGTACTTATTTAAAATCTTTTAAGTATGCATATATTTTCTGGTTTAGTTAAAAAAAAATATTGCTTACTTAATTTTGAAAAATTCCTTTTCTTCAATTTTGAGACAAACTGCTTGGTAGAGAGATGTTATCTTCTTAATGTATTACTGTATTCCATCTTTTTAACATTTTAATTAAATTCCCTATTCACAAGAACAGATAACTGACAAACATCTTCCTTTTTATTAGTTTTGTGTCTAAAAGATACACCCAGTTCTTTTTACTTTTTTCTTCTTTTACTGAAGTTTCTATTTTCAATCTTAAAATAACAAAGAAAAATGATCACCCATTTACCATTTTCTATACTGGACAAATTTCACATTTTGCCATATTTATCTTGTGTTTGCGAAAACATTTTAAAATAAATTAGATATATTTCACTCTTTAATACTTCAGTATATATTTCCAAAACTACGTTCTTTAATAGCGCACCTATAATCAAACTCCCATGATGTCCGCAAAAGTCTTTCAAAGAGTTGTTTTTTGTTTTTTGTTTTGCCAAACCAGGATGCTCTAAAGGACCACAAATTACGTTTAGTAGTTCTTACACGTGAGGCCTAACCTCCGGGAGTGGAGTAGGGGGCGGCCTCTGAAAACGCCAGAGAGAGCTACAGACCCTCCACAGCAACCACCGCCCTACTCTTTGAATAAGACAGGTTTATTTACATAGTTATTTAAACAAGTGGACGCGAAGGATTATGGTAGACGTAGTCTTGAGACTAGTTTGCTTACCCAGCCGAACTTGCGCCCCGCTGCGGACAGTGCTGCGCACGCGCAGCTTCGCCATCTTCCTGGTCCCCCTCCTGCGCCAACAGGTTTAGCGAAGCCCGAAATCCCGTTTCCAGATTTCCCAGTAACTTTCAAGGTCCTGGTTGCCCACCTTCCCAAGAGCAGAGGTTAGAGCGTGGGCCGGGAGGGAAACGGCGGTGATCCTCGGTGGGGAGGAGCCCCGGGACCCCGCAGCGGGAACCCCCACGGCGGGTGGGGGGCCTTCTGGGTGCGGACCAGCGGCTTGAGGTCCGGTGGGTCCCCACTTCTGAGCGAGTGGTTCTGTTCGTGCGCCCCGCGCGTGCGCATGCGTGAGGGTGCGCTCTGGCTGCGTGGGGTGCCCCGTGACTTGGAGGCCGACTTGGCTTTCAGCTGGGTAACAAGTGCCCTGGATGTGGTGTCCTTTGTCTTTGTCCTCACTGGCTCTAGTTTCTAGGGGTTAATAAGATTTGAGGTGCTGGGTGAGAGTTCCAATATGAATTTGCCCTCTAATCTTTTTTTTTAAGATTTTATTTATTAGAGGGGCACCTGGGTGGCTCAGTTGGTTAAGCATCTGCCTTTGGCTCAGGTCATGATCCCAGAGTCAGGGGATCGAGCCCCGCGTTGGGCTCCCTGCTTCGTGGGGAGCCTCCTTCTCTCTCTGCCTGCTGCTCCCCTTGTTTGTACTCTCTCTGTGTCAAATAAATAAAATCTTTTTAAAAAATAAGATTTTATTTATTAGAGATAGGAGGAGCTGGGAGAGGGGCAGAGGGAGAAGCTGACGCCCCACAGTGGGGAGCCTGACTAGGGGCTGGATCCCTGGATCCTGAGATCATGACCTGAGCTGAAGTCAGACGCTTAACCAGCCGAGCCACCCGGGCGCCCCTGTCCTCTAATCTTATATCCTAATTTCCAAGGAACCTATGGCCTCCTGTGAGATTATAAAGAGCTGCAATTTCAGAAACAGAAATCTCATCCTGAAGAGAACCCTAGGGACTTTTGATCCCTCTCCAGAGTTTCAGAATGGAGATAGTCCCAGAAAGGGATAGATCCTAGAACTGCAGAGCATAGCATGGCAATTCTTTGTTTTCCTGTTGAGGTGCCACTGTAACTGAACTAACCTGAGTTAGCTCCTTGGCGAGTCACAGACACAAACTATACCAGATCCAGTCGTCATGCAAAGGAAAATTTGCAGCAGATAAGGAAATCATGAGGAATAACTTACAAAGCCGTGAGTCCCTGAGATGGTGGATGTGTTCCTTTTATTTAGGGAGGGGATGAATATTTAGAAAGGGGATCTTGGTCATTTGTGTGTAAAGGAGGCATAAGGTTGTTTCTTAAGGAAACATGCCGGTACATACATTCTATGTTATGTTAGTGGTGCTTGTGTGCTCTTTGAGCGGAGATTTTAGTATTGTAATGAGGTAAAAGTTGTAGTCATTCTAGAGGTCACTTCATGGTCGT